ACCTAGTGTGACCCTGTCAACAGCTACATTGTCAATGTCACTGAAAACCTTTTCTTGTAAGGAGAATGACTTATGGAAGCAGAGACTCACCTAGTGTGACCCTGTCAACAGCTACACTGTCAATGTCACTGAAAACCTTTTCTGCATCCCCGTCTGCCAGACTGAAGGCTTTGGTCAGTAAGACACACAGTTCCTCTTGTGTGATGTAGCCCTTGTTGTCAGTATCATAGAGCTGCAACAACAAGGATAATTGTCCTCTTGAGATCACAGTTAATTATACATGAGGCAGCCTCTAAGATTACATCATCCATCAAGTGCTGATTGCAATGTAAATGCTCAATGTATGCAAAAATGTAATCTTACTTATAAAGACTATGGTATGTAAATATAATTTTCACTGCCCTTGGACACCTGCTATAGGTGCTCTAGCTTCCTCTCATACATCACACAAGGAGAATCTCTGCACAGTGTACACCAGGGTTATTTAACAGCTGGCCCGCAGGCCAAAGCTGGCCCACAGAGGCATAGTAAGTGGCCTGCGGATCACCTGCCAACTATATCGTATTAATGATCTTTCCATGCTGGGCTTTACACCACAGGCCCGTGACGACACCCCATTTCCAACATCTTGAGTAAGCTTAGTTGCACTGCCCTGGTGTACTCAATGTAAAAACTGGCAAGGAACCCAATGTGTCTGCGCCTGGACCACACATGCTGTAAAATAAATGTGTAGGTATTTTACATGCAAGATGCGACCTCACAGTTTTTGGACCTGATATTTTTTGGGGCCCTCATATGAGAAGGCTTGATGACCAGACCATTACTTTAGGATCAGAAGCAGTGTTATCATCTTAAAATCTTAAATCTTTTAAAGTTCTTTTCACATACAGACAAGAACAAGTGGTAGAGACTGATGTCACTTTGCCTCAGCAGGGGGAACATGTTTAGGTAAACAAGAATCAGCCACAACCTCCCTTTATAGATCTTTTCATACTACATTATCAGTTGGTATGTCACCTTGTTACCTCATACAGTCAGAACCATCTTTCCATACTACATTATCAGTTGGTATGTCACCTTGTTACCTCATAGTCAGAACCATCTTTCCATACTACATTATCAGTTGGTATGTCAACTTGTTACCTCATACAGCCAGAACCATCTTTCCATACTACATTATCAGTTGGCATGTCACCTTGTTACCTCATACAGCCAGAACCATCTTTCCATACTACATTATCAGTTGGCATGTCACCTTGTTACCTCATACAGTCAGAACCATCTTTCCATACTACATTATCAGTTGGTATGTCACCTTGTTACCTCATACAGCCAGAACTATCTTTTCATACTACATTATCAGTTGGTATGTCACCTTGTTACCTCATACAGCCAGAAGCATCTTTCCATACTACATTATCAGTTGGTATGTCACCTTGTTACCTCATACAGTCAGAACCATCTTTTCATACTACATTATCAGTTGGCATGTCACCTTGTTACCTCATACAGCCAGAACTATCTTTCCATACTACATTATCAGTTGGCATGTCACCTTGTTACCTCATACAGCCAGAACCATCTTTCCATACTACATTATCAGTTGGCATGTCACCTTGTTACCTCATGCAGTCAGAACCATCTTTTCATACTACATTATCAGTTGGTATGTCACCTTGTTACCTCATAGTCAGAACCATCTTTTCATACTACATTATCAGTTGGTATGTCACCTTGTTACCTCATAGTCAGAACCATCTTTTCATACTACATTATCAGTTGGTATGTCACCTTGTTACCTCATAGTCAGAACCATCTTTCCATACTACATTATCAGTTGGTATGTCAACTTGTTACCTCATACAGTCAGAACCATCTTTTCATACTACATTATCAGTTGGTATGTCACCTTGTTACCTCATATAGTCAGAACCATCTTTCCATACTACATTATCAGTTGGTATGTCACCTTGTTACCTCATAGTCAGAACCATCTTTCCATACTACATTATCAGTTGGTATGTCAACTTGTTACCTCATACAGTCAGAACCATCTTTTCATACTACATTATCAGTTGGTATGTCACCTTGTTACCTCATACAGTCAGAACCATCTTTCCATACTACATTATCAGTTGGTATGTCACCTTGTTACCTCATACAGCCAGAACCATCTTTCCATACTACATTATCAGTTGGTATGTCACCTTGTTACCTCATAGTCAGAACCATCTTTTCATACTACATTATCAGTTGGTATGTCACCTTGTTACCTCATAGTCAGAACCATCTTTTCATACTACATTATCAGTTGGTATGTCACCTTGTTACCTCATAGTCAGAACCATCTTTTCATACTACATTATCAGTTTGGTATGTCACCTTGTTTACCTCATAGTCAGAACCATCTTTCCATACTACATTATTCAGTTGGTATGTCAACTTGTTACCTCATAAGTCAGAACCATCTTTTTTCATACTACATTATCAGTTGGTATGTCACCTTGTTACCTCATATAGTCAGAACCATCTTTCCATACTACATTATCAGTTGGTATGTCACCTTGTTACCTCATAGTCAGAACCATCTTTCCATACTACATTATCAGTTGGTATGTCACCTTGTTACCTCATACAGTCAGAACCATCTTTCCATACTACATTATCAGTTGGTATGTCAACTTGTTACCTCATACAGTCAGAACCATCTTTTCATACTACATTATCAGTTGGTATGTCACCTTGTTACCTCATACAGCCAGAACCATCTTTCCATACTACATTATCAGTTGGCATGTCACCTTGTTACCTCATACAGTCAGAACCATCTTTTCATACTACATTATCAGTTGGTATGTCACCTTGTTACCTCATACAGTCAGAACCATCTTTCCATACTACATTATCAGTTGGCATGTCACCTTGTTACCTCATACAGTCAGAACCATCTTTCCATACTACATTATCAGTTGGTATGTCACCTTGTTACCTCATACAGTCAGAACCATCTTTTCATACTACATTATCAGTTGGTATGTCACCTTGTTACCTCATACAGCCAGAACCATCTTTCCATACTACATTATCAGTTGGTATGTCACCTTGTTACCTCATACAGTCAGAACCATCTTTCCATACTACATTATCAGTTGGCATGTCACCTTGTTACCTCATAGTCAGAACCATCTTTTCATACTACATTATCAGTTGGTATGTCACCTTGTTACCTCATACAGTCAGAACCATCTTTTCATACTACATTATCAGTTGGTATGTCACCTTGTTACCTCATACAGCCAGAACCATCTTTTCATACTACATTATCAGTTGGTATGTCACCTTGTTACCTCATACAGTCAGAACCATCTTTTCATACTACATTATCAGTTGGTATGTCACCTTGTTACCTCATACAGCCAGAACCATCTTTCCATACTACATTATCAGTTGGCATGTCACCTTGTTACCTCATACAGTCAGAACCATCTTTCCATACTACATTATCAGTTGGTATGTCACCTTGTTACCTCATGCAGTCAGAACCATCTTTCTTCTTCTTCTTCACGTTCACCTGCTGTAAGTCCACTTCCAGATTTTACTCTTCTTCCAGAACCTAAGTGTTGTGTGCACATCTGTTTCACACATCTGGCTGATTTGTATGCAGACTAGGTTCCTTACCTCTCAGGCAGATGCACTCTGACTTTGAAGAATGCCCATAACCGATCAACTCTTACAGTATGCTTGTTGGGGAGACAGTCAGTCTATTCTTGTTTTCCCCTTTTGGGCCCCAGAACCCTCACACAGAGAACTATCTTTCATACTTGTATCTTCAAGTGTATGCGTGTGAGTTCAAACTCACTTGTACAATGGCAAAGGTTCTTAATGTGCAGTGCGCACTGAAAAATGGTCTGAGTGACAGGTTTTTGGTGGAAAATGGAGTGTAACAAGGCTGCATTTTATCTCCCTGTTGTGTAAAGTAGCCATTGATTTGGTAATGAAAAACGTTTATAAAGGCAAATACTGTCATTGATAGGGTAGACAATATACAAGGGAAGATCTCAATTTCACAGATGATACTGTTCTGTTAAGTAAAAATAACAAAGACATGCAAAATAAAACAGGCAATTTGTCATCTACAGTGTCAAAAATAGGACTACACAAAGGTTATGAGAAAACAAATATATTAAAGATACCAACAACAGACCATGCAGATGTCATGCCAATAAAAGCAATAAAAGTAACAGACTATTTCATCTATGTGGGTAGCAATTGCGACTCACAAGGAGATACAACAAAGGAAATTATGATACGCTTTGGCAAAGCAACAACAGTCTTTAGAAGCCTGAACAGAATATGTAGCTCCAAGCTGTACAGCTTTAAGACCAAACTATGAATCTTTAATAATTCCAACATTATTTCAATGCTAACATACGCCAGCTACAGTTGGAGACCTACCACAGGTATGAAACAAACAGTTAAATGCATTTGAACATAAATGTCTGAGAAAAAAAAAAAAAAAGGAACACAAAATGGGATGAATTCAAAAAGAGTGAGTGAGATCAGAGAAATGTCTGAACAAATACCTGAAATGACTGCAATAAGACAAAGAGGGTGAGGATACTTTGAGACAAAATGAGCAAAGAATTACAAAATAGGCTCTGAAATAGGAAACAAACAGTCTGAGAAAAAGAGGATGTCCAAGGGAAACATTAAGAACCCAATTTTTACAAGAGGCAACAAATGCTGCTGTCAGCATATCAGAAATCGAGAAAGCTGCATGCAACAGAGCGGAGTAAAGGAATCGATTGCGAGCTGTATGTGACGCCTAACGGCACAAAAGGAATAAAGATGATGATGGTGAATGGTTCTCACACTGTCATCATGTGATCTAAGGCAGTAGTCACAGACACACAAGTCCCGTTACTGCACAACAAATGATGTGATCAATATTCTGCCAGCTGTAACATACAAAGTACATAAATAAACTACAAGTGGCTTACCTGAAATGCTAACTGTATTGTGCTGTCATTGCTGGTAGAAGCTGTCACAAGAGACAGCCCAATGATGTATTCTCTCAGATCTATCATGCCTGATGCATTCTGCAATAATATCATATTAAAACTAGCATATACAACACTAGAACCATAGGCAGGATTGTACAATGAATAAGAAATCAACATCAGGATAATTAATGCAGCAACAACAATGAGCAGGTTTAAAAAAAAATTATGGAAGAATAGAAAGCTCACAGTTAAACCCCAAACCCTTGTTTGTCAAGTATGTGATCGGATGACTCTCTGTACGGTTGTGACACTTGAGCAACTTACTTGTATCAGGAGAAACGGCTAAACAGCTTTCACATGCGATGTCTAGGAATATAACTTGGCATGAAGAGGACAGACAAGCTCACAAACACAAGATAATGGAAAGAGCAAATATCACACAAGAGTTCTTAATACTCAGCTTCTGAAGGCTCAGATGGCTAAGAAATGCTCAGAGAATGGAAGATAATAAGAGTTCCTATAGACAATCTCTATGGTGAATTACAGACAGGAAGAAGATCATGAGGCTGGACTCTAAGATTAAAAGATGTTTGCAAGTAAGACATGAATGACACGTGGATTAATGGGAACAGGAAGCCAGGGATTGCATTACATGGACTGGAAACATTAGGAAGGGAAGGTGACACAGGAGAAAAGGATTGCAGACAGGTTGAGAGCTGCACATCTGAGAGGAATGCGGTTAAATACATGTGATGGCAACAATGGTGCTGAAATCTGATGCTAGCCACACTTGCTATCCTTGTGGGCAGTGATTTCTCATGCCTCCCTATAACACAGTTAACACTATTATCTGGAAATGGAATGGTCTTCTCACATCTTAACATGGTAACATAAATAAACTTATATCCTGTGCCCATCTTTGTGCTGGTCGACCCCTGCCCTTCTTACCTGGTGCTATGCCTTCTGCTACTATTTTTTTCTGGGGCTTGATACAATGCTGTTTTCTATACAATTATAGCCAAAATATGTCAGTTTCTGAAACGATACTGTTTTCTATACAATTATAGCCAAAATATGTCCGTTTCTGAAACGATACTGTTTTCTATACAATTATAGCCAAAATATGTCAGTTTCTGAGATAAGATGCTGTTTTCTATACAATTTCCCTTGATGTTCAGATCTTTTAGTATGTCAGTATTGCTTCTGTTCTTGGTCCATGGTATTCCGAGAATCTTTCTATAGCCTTTCACCTCAAATTTATTTGCCTAATGGTCAAAATAAAAACGATTAAAAGAACTGCTCAATCACTAACCGTGTCATAAAGGTCAAACACCCGTTGTAGAGTGTCAGACTTGGGAAGATCAAGGCAAATACTGAACTCCTCAAATGTGACCTCAGTTGCCTTTTCTTTCCCTGTCTTGCTGTCTGTTACTACTCCAACCTTGTCAAGCAAATTTTGCATCTGATCAGCTGACAACCTAGGTGAGAGAGGCAAACAAGTCATGTTGATTCATTTCTTCAAGTGATGCATGAAGGCAAGATTTTATACAATCTGATCTCTAACACTATACTGGAAGCTATCTGAGATTAGACAAACACTAATCTTATCTCTAACGCTATACTGGAAGCTATCTGAGATTAGACAAACAGTAATCTGATCTCTAATGCTATACTGGAAGCTATCTGAGATTAGACGAACAGTCATCAAACAGGCATTGAAACAGGAAATAGATGGACTGAGAAAACAAGGACATCCAAGAGAATCCCTAAAGCGAACGCTGATAAGAGAAGCCGAAGGTACTGGAATGGATTCCATCCATGACATCCATGTGACTGCACAGGATAGACTGTGATCCTGTAAGACATATGGCACAAGAGGACAATCAATGAATGAACTAATCTCTAACAGACAAGTGTTGCCATATCAGAGCTGGAACCACTCATCACCAAGCAAATAACACACACTAGTGATTAACTCTTTAACTGCACAAAAGTCAGAACACAGAAGATGTATCTTTCATATATATATATATATAATATGTATATATATATATATATAATACATTTTTAGGGAGCAGTGGGTGTATTCTTTTCATATATATATATATATATATATATATATATATATATATATATATATATATATATATATATATATATATATATATATATATATATATATATATATATATATATATATATATATGAAAAGAATACACCCACTGCTTCCTAAAAATGTATTATATATATATATATATATATATATATATATATATATATATATATATATATATATATATATATATATATATATATATATATATATATATATATATATATATATAATATGTATATATATATATATATATATAATACATTTTTAGGGAGCAGTGGGTGTATTCTTTTCATATATATATATATATATATATATATATATATATATATATATATATATGAAAAGAATACACCCACTGCTCCCTAAAAGATGACTAATTAGGAGTTTAATGCAACAGGATGTGTTGCTGCAGATGTCACAGCTTAGCTGTAAACCATAACACAACATGCCAACCTCCCTTTTACAGATGACCAATGAAGAATAAGAAGAGATAAAGAAGCCAGCTTACCCCAATTTGGAGTGCAAATTTTCCAACTCCTTGAGTTTTGCCAGCACAGGTTTTGTACTGGTCCTTGCAGGCCGTAGGTCATCATATGTATGGTCTGTCACTGGACACTGCAGGCATCTGAATGGTAAGAGTTTGGCTAGTTAGTTCAATATCCTTTACAGGACACTGCAAATCTATACAGACATTTGGGTTCTTTATTCATATCCTACCCCAGATGACGTCACAGGACAGTCCAATATTTCAGAGGGTGGTAAGACTGGGTTTCCCAGCTTTCTGATGCTTAACAACCCTAAAACATCTAGAGCTGGCCCCAAACCAAACCCACCTATGTCCCACAAGAAAGTGTAGCCTAGGTCCCACAAATGCATGCAACCTAGTTCCCACAACTGCATGCAGCCTATCTACCACCCCCTGGAATATTAGACTGTCCTGTGACCTATGATTTTTCCCTATTTGGGGTAGAATATTAATGAAGCACAGAAACTTGTTGGCTACTTTTTGGAAAAAGGGGGGGGGGGGGAATTTTTATTTCTATTAGTATATCAGAAACATCAGACCCCTGTGTGGTTTCCGGGGCCCTATTATAGGGAAAACAAGAATAGACCCACCACCTGCCCAAAAGCATGTCGTAAGAGTCGACTAACTGGGAGCTTCCTTCAAACTCAGAGTGCATCTGCCTGAGAGGCAAGGAACCAACAGTCTACACTCAATTGTGTCAGATCTGTCAAACGTATGCACACGCAACACTCAGGTTCTGGAACAGGACTGCAGTCCAGAAGTGGACTAACAACCAGAACTTTCCACCAGAGTTTACAGCTGGTGAACGCAAAGAAGAAGAAGAGAAACATCAGAAATAGAAACTCATCATTTTTTGGCCATGTTATGAAAAGAAAGAAACTGAAACATGTGACAACTGGAAACATTTGCAGGAAGAGAAACAGGAAGATGATGCAAGATGAGATGATTCTTGACCAGGTTATGTCATGGCAAATAAGGATGTCAGCACACAAAACTGATACATGCTGTTGTAACTTGTAAGATGAGAAGAGGCAAGGTTACCATGTCAGCTGCCAGGGTATTTGATGATGATGAGTCTGCCTTTGCTTCCTGGACGACTGATGTTCATACCGCTGTCACATTTAACGAAAGAAGTCTGCTGCAAAATCATCTACAGCTGTCACCGTGTGGGGTCTGGGGCCCCATTTTGGGGGGGAAAGAACAGACCCAAGTTAAGATTTTTGACAAGAAGGTCTGCCCTTCCTTATCTGTCTCTTTCATAGTTCTTTCATTCACACATCAATTGGTTAACTCTTAAAACGAGAAGGACAATAAAATATGCATCCTAACTGCATGTTGTAAGCGTCGACCAATTAGGGGTTTCTTTTGAAGTTGGAGTTCGTCTACCTGAGCGGCAAAAAACCAACAGTCTGCATACATATAAGCCAAATCTGTAAAACAGATATGCATACAAAACAGGTTCTGGAACAAGAATTAAGTCCAGAAGTGGATAAACAACCAGAACTTTCCACCGGAGTCTACAGCTAGTGAACGCAAAGAAGAAGAAGATTACTATATGACTGGTTATTAATTATCAGACTAAGAAAAAAAAAATGGCGTTCCCAAGCTTAACCACATGTAAATGGCTTGATTTCTGTGACCATATGAAAACCACAAAATGGCTCATTATATCATAATAGTCACTAAAAGAGCCAAGTCAAAGACACCATAGCTCCACTCCCATAAATGTTTTAATTTAGTGCTTGCAAATGCAGAGTGACTCAATGAGTGAGCTGTTAAACTACCCACTGTTTACAAAAAGTCAGTGAACAAATAATTTCAACCCCGGTTAACCATTTAGCCATGTGCGTGCCCTTAAAAACTGGGAACTAAACCCAAAGTGACTGTCAGAAAGCTTGTGCCCTACCAGCATAAATATGCACAAGACTACATGAACCTACATACCGTGCCATGGCATCCCTGACATTGTTGGCAAACAGTTTAGGATCAGCCTTCTCCGCTTCATTCGGGGAATAGACAGGTAAATACTGTAAACAGACAAACTAATATTGTGAACAAACAATAGTGCCAATAAAGAAGTAAATACATTTAACAAATTAATATTGTGAACAAACAAAAGTGTCAGTAAAGAAGTAAATACATTTAACAAATTAATATTGTGAACAAACAATACTGCCAATAAAGAAGTAAATACATTTAACAAATTAATATTGTGAACAAACAATAGTGTCAATAGAAGTAAATAAATACATTTAACAAACTAATATTGTGAACAAACAATAGTGCCAATAAAGAAGTAAATACTGTGAACAGACAAACTAAACTGTTAAAAACAAGTGAAAACTGTGAACAGGCAGGTTAAAGTAAATATTGTCAACAGACATAGTTGGAAAACAAATAAAAAGACAAGTTAATCTGAATATACAGGAAAATACTGATAAAAATGTGTTGCACTGATTTTGACAATGGTATGGACAGCTGACCATTCAGGAAAGCAATGGAACACGTCTGAACCAAAATTGCCTGGTAAAACCAGACAGTAAAAAATGCTGAAGTTGGTTCTGCATATCACGTAATGGATACACTGACTAACTAACTGGGAAATACTCAAATACTGACAATACCTGTGTCTTATAAATTATTATCTATCAGTCTGGGAATGGGAAAAAGGAAAAGGGGGGGGGGGGGCGGCTGCTCTGTATCTGATTTTGACCTAGAAAAGAATATGAGATGATTTTGTTCTCACCTCATGATTCATAGACCTAGTATATAGACTTTAAACCACTGTGGCGGAGACTTTTGCTTAACCTACAAACCTTGAAAACAAGAAGAAAGATATCATTTAGAAGAGTTTTCCCTGTGGGTTCTAGGGTCCCATTGTGGGGGAAAACAGAATAGTCTCACTGCTTCCCTAACATGCAGGTCATAAGATTAGCAGAATCATGGGTTTATTTTAATGTCAGAGTGTATCTGCCTGAGAGGCAAGGAACCAACAGTCTGTATACAAATAAACCAGATTGGTGAAACATATGTGCCTGTAAAACCCGAGTTCAAGATCAAGATTAAAGCCCAGAAGTGGACAAACAATCAGAACTTACTGCTGCTGTTTACAGCCGGTGATTGTCAAGAGAAAAAAAAAATAAGTGACACCTTGGGAAAGGAAAGTGCACGAGGCAGGAGAACTGGTGAGGCACAGAGTTTTCTTTCAGGCAGACTATGATGACAGTGATGTTCTGCAAAGGACCTGCTACATGATGATGGTGCATGTGGTGCCAGAGAAATAATCTGCATAAAAACCAATCAACACTCAATGGGTGATTTGGTTCAACGCGGGGGCAGCGTTGGCACAGTCGATAAGAAGCTCGCTTTCAAATCCAGCTGCGACTCGCTGCAGCCCACAGTCGGTGTTCGAAACCGGGCGGCTCCCGGGGTTCACCCAGCCTCTAGGAAATGGGTACCAGAGTTGACACTATGGGGTAAATGGAGGAACGTCGCTGTAGCTACAGAGTTATGTGTGAACGGCGACACAGGCGGACAATTCTTATCAGCTGTCCGTACTGGTAGCAGAGCACTTATGGTTTATAACCTTGTGCAATGACGCTGGTTCATATCTCCCGACTTTACTTCACCTTTTTGGTGAACATCATGCCGGCTGATTTTTTTACGTTATTGTTTATGTTCACCGGATGTAAACACCAGGCGAAAAGGCCTGGTTGTTCATCCATTTCTGACTTTGGCCTTGTTCCAGGACCTTATATTTGCATGTGCATCCATTTTACAGATATTGCTTATTTGTATGCAGACTGTTGGTTCCTTGCCTCTCAGCCAAATACACTCTGACACTGAAGGAAGCCCCAGTGAGTTGACTCTTACGACATGCTTGGGTCTATTCTTGTTTTCCCCACAATGGGACTTTGGAACCCAAGGGGGCCAGCTTATCGTACTTCCCATGACATTTCCTGGTGTCTATTTAAGGCTGGGTCAACCTGGAAGCTCTAGGTCAATTACAAAAATCCATTTTCATGAGGACTCCAACACAAGACTTGTAATGTTAAGTAAGTAAAGTAAAAAAGTAAAGGACCCTTTTCCATGCCTTTAGGCATATAGGGCTAGACTTATATTATTATGGACCAAATGGCACAAGATGGGTGATGTGGTGAGCATCACGCCGGCCACCTTTACTTCCCGGGACTGCACCCAGTACCCACTTAAGGCTGGGTCCACCTAGGGAGCCAAGGTCATTTTTGAAAAAAGTCTGGCTCCTCCAGGAAGCGAACCCAGGACTTTCCGAGCATCTAGCCGCTCGGGTACAGCGACTCCCCCTTGTAATGTTATATTTCAAAATATTCTGGCTAGAGGCCAGCTTGCCCTGTCTCTCTGAGCAGCTCACAACCAAGTGACACAAATGCTTCAACACACTGAATGGTAAAGTGCTAGGATTTGTGCTTAGCTGGAGAAGGCAAGGAAGAGATCATGTCACTGATAAAGCTGTGACATAGTACATATGGACCCTTGAGGATGTTACCTCTTTACCTCAGTATCTGATGTAAGGTTATCTTGAATTTTTCTTTTTCTAAACCTTGGTTAAAAAACAATTTTTATCTGGAAAGCTCTGACAAGAACAACTCAACAGCCCAACTATCAGTGTTGTGGTTTGGAGAAGATCATTTTGATAATGCTACATCATGTCACCCTGTGACTTATTTGCACCAAGGAAGGACACTTCTCTGCAATCTACTACCACAAAAAAGGCTATATGTCTCCTTTTTCATATCTGGGATTTTACACTGTAGTTCGAAGATTAATTTGAGATCAGGTAATACTGTATTACTATTAAAAAGTTAATATATAATAATCACACAATATTATTTTTAACTGTAACTAGTTTACTGAGTGTGAATAGAGAGCCATTTTAGCAAGATGATTTTGGGTTGCACAGTCAGTGCAGTTGCACTGAACTGTGCACACCAGAAATTTATTTCTTTTCTGCTTTGGACAGGAAGTATCCCATCACTTCAAAGAAGATCTGTAACTATGTCTCTTGAATGAGAGTCCTACATCCTTACTGTTAAGTATGCAGTCCTACATCCTAACTGCTAAGTATACAGTCCTACATCCTAACTGCTAAGTATACAGTCCTACATCCTAACTTCTAATTATACAGTCCTACATCCTAACTGCTAAGTATACAGTCCTACATCCTAACTGCTAAGTATACAGTCCTACATCCTAACTATACTCCTAATATACAGTCCTGAAACTGTGCACATCCTAAACTTCTAAGTATACAGGAAGTTCCTACATCCTAACTGCTAAGTATACAGTCCTACATCCTAACTTTAAGTATACAGTCCTACATCCTAGCTTCTAAGTATACAGTCCTACATTCTAACTTTTAAGTATACAGTCCTACATCCTAACTGTTAAGTATACAGCTAAGTAAGTACAGTCCTACATTCTAACTGCTAAGTATACAGTCCCTACATCCTAACTGCTAAGTATACAGTCCTACATCCTAACTGCTAAGTATACAGTCCTACATCCTAACTGCTAAGTATACAGTCCTACATTCTAACTGCTAAGTATACAGTCCTACATCCTAACTTCTAAGTATACAGTCCTTCATTCTAACTTCTAAGTATACAGTCCTACATCCTAACTGCTAAGTATACAGTCCTACATCCTAACTGCTAAGTATACAGTCCTACATCCTAACTGCTAAGTATACAGTCCTACATCCTAACTTCTAAGTATACAGTCCTACATCCTAACTGCTAAGTATACAGTCCTACATCCTAACTGCTAAGTATACAGTCCTACATCCTAACTTCTAAGTATACAGTCCTACATCCTAGCTTCTAAGTATACAGTCCTACATTCTAACTTTTAAGTATACAGTCCTACATCCTAACTGCTAAGTATACAGTCCAACATTCTAACTGCTAAGTATACAATCGTACATCCTAACTTCTAAGTATACAGTCCTACATCCTAACTGCTAAGTATACAGTCCTACATCCCAACTGCTAAGTATACAGTCCTACATTCTAACTGCTAAGTATACAGTCCTACATCTTAACTTCTAAGTATACAGTCCTACATTCTAACTTCTAAGTATACAGTCATACATCCTAACTTCTAAGTATACAGTCCTACATCCCAACTGCTAAGTATACAGTCCTACATCCTAACTGCTAAGTATACAGTCCTACATCCCAACTGCTAAGTATACAGTCCTACATCCTAACTGCTAAGTATACAGTCCTACATCCCAACTGCTAAGTATACAGTCCTACATCCTAACTGCTAAGTATACAGTCCTACATCCCAACTGCTAAGTATACAGTCCTAGTCCTACATCCTACATCCTAACTGCTAAGTATACAGTCCTACATCCTAACTGCTAAGTATACAGTCCTACATCCCAACTGCTAAGTATACAGTCCTACATCCTAACTGCTAAGTATACAGTCCTACATCCCAACTGCTAAGTATACAGTCCTACATCCTAACTTCTAAGTATACAGTCCTACATCCTAACTTCTAAGTATACAGACCTACATCCTAACTTCTAAGTATACAGTCCTACATCCTAACTTCTAAGTATACAGTCATACATCCTAACTTCTAAGTAAACAGTCCTACATCCTAACTTCTAAGTATACAGTTAATACATAAAATGTTACTGGCAGACAGAACAGAACATTAGATGGGCTTGAATGCCCAATTTATAAACTTTTGAAAATAAAAACTGTTCATTCATTCAAATCTGGTGCAAAACTGACTCAATGTGTGCACAGCTGTCAAACAGATGAGATTAGAATCAACATATGACAAACATGCCATTATCTCACCCTAATACTGGCATCTAGCACACCTGTTTAACACCTGAGGTTAAAAACAGCCCATTAAAGGGACACCACTGTCTCACATCCAACATAAATAATACTGACCTCTATTTCACACCTGTTGTAAAACTGGCATAAGGTCAGCCACAGTTGTGTGAACCTAAAGGAGAAAGCAGAGTAAAGTCAGCCATAGTTGTGTGAACCTAAAGGAGAAAGCAGAGTTGTCTCAGCTGCCTACACAGTGTCATCTTCATTTATGAATCTACTTTTTTTCATAAGGGTTCTAGGACCCCACTGGAAACGAATGAGTGGGGGGAGATCCACTGTCACCATAACGAGCAAGGAACCAACAGCCTGCCAGATCTGTAAAACACATGTGAATGTAAAACTCAAGCTCTGGAACAAGATCAAAGTCCCAGAAGTGGATAAACAACTTTCCACAGGAGCTTACAGCTGATGAATGCTAAGAAAAAGAGGAAGAACAAGAAGAAGAATCTAGCTGTCACCATCTCCAAGCCTCTATCTAACCATCACTGTCTAAATGTTGTTACTATTGTTCTCATATCATGAGCATCAAAGCTATATTTCTATCCTCATTTCAACATTCATTAGTTGTCTGTCTGCATGTCAAAATATACAAGACACAATCTAGTTCAGCTTTAAATTTACTGCAACTTGATTATTAACTAAATTCTATTTGGAGAGATATTTATCCCCAGTTTGAGAAGTGTCATCATGTAGCAGGACCTTTGCAGAACATCGCTCTCATCACAGTCTGCCTGAAAGAAACTCGGTCTCTCGCCAGTTCTCCCGCCTCATGTACTTTCACATTCAAGGAGTCACTTATACCCTGTGCCCATCTTCGTGTCGGTCAGCCCCTGCCCCTCCTTCCTGGTACCATGCATTTTGCTATAATTTTTTCCAATCCTTCGTGGCGCAAAATATTTCAGCTTTCGAGAAAGGATGCTGTTTATTAGTCAATCTTCCTTGATGTTAAGATCTTTTAAGATGTCAATATTTCTCATCTTCTTTAGAAGTGCTGATTATATAAATATGCTTGTAGGACTAGACCTAGAGAAGCAAATAATGCGGTAAAAAACAGTAGTTCAGGACTAAACACTTACGCTCCTGGTCCATCCCAAGTCCAAGTAATTGTATCCTGTGAAAGCAATGAAACAACAAGGGTCAGACAAGTCCCTGAAACAGCTTGATAACTGCCACAACACATGTCAAACAAAAAGACACGTCCTCAGAACTGCCACAATACAAGTCAAACAAAAACAAAGGACTTTTTTCATGCCAGTGGCCCATCGGGCCTATGTTGTTAGACTCGCATTTGTACAGACCAAACTGGCAAATTACTTGAGAACATTTGTTAACTGTCATAATGTCAACAGACAAAGATTTTCTTACAGCCAACAGAATTCCAGGAGTGTATATGTGTAATGCTAAGAATATGTCAAACGTTCAAATTACCTTATCCTATCACAGCACACTGAGCATTCCCATGTGTGCTGTCCTGTGAAGCAGTGGCCAGCCAAGAGGTACCTTCTACACAATAAGATTACCTCTACTTGAGAAGTATTACCAACTTCCTTCTTGCTTTATGACTGGGAGTTGAAATGTGATTTGCAAAACCAACTGATTACAGAACTGACATCATAGCACATTGGGCATACCCACAGTTGCTCCATCTCCTGCAGCAAATGTCTTAACAGGTAGATCAGTGGTCTTCAACCTTTCTAATGCCACGAACCTTTAATACAATTCCTCATCGTGTGATGACTCCCAACCATTCAATTATATATTGTGTTGCTACTTCCTGACTTTAGTGAATATGTGTTTACCGATGGTCTTAGTGACCGACGTGAAAGGATCGTTTGACCTACAGGTTGAGAACCGCTGGTGTACATGCTAAGTGTTCCTGTAGCACACCCTGATTATACACTTGTCGTCCTTGCCAGATCAACTCCATATTATTACATGTGTCATCTGATCTTGTGTCTTCTATCAACATTCATCATTCACTGGTCCTCAGATTGTCTTCTCTGTCCAGTATGAGTTTTCCTGTAGCTTTCACTTGTGCAGCAACAAAAATGGCTCTTTCATCCCCTTGCACTCCTGCAAATCCTGGACAGTATACCATGTTTATAGGGCTAGGATAAGTGAGATGTAGGGAATCAAGACCCAGGACTACTCTCTTACTTAACAGTACAATATGTTACCTAGTTTAACAGACGCACTTGAAAATGTTCTGCGAAGTAAAGGAGGCCAACATGATGTTGACAACATGGCCAAGGCAGTGATGACTGGTCTATACACAGATGGAGCTAGCATCATAAATACAATATGCTCAAGGTGTTTTCCCATGTGGGCCCAACACACTTCGCTTGGAAAAGAAATAAAGAATAAATACACACACCCACACACACAAAAGCAGGTCATAAAAGGGGATTAATTTAGCAGTGTTTCCTACAAAGTTGGAGTGTATATGCCTGAGAGTTGGGGAACCAATAGCCAGCATACAAACAGATGAAAGTCCAGAAGTGGGAGAACAATGAGAACTTTCCACCAGAGTTTACAGGTGGTAAATGCTAAGAGGAATAGCTCAAAATGGTGAAAAGAGGTCTCCACACAGAAAGATTACCTTTTCTAATATGTGCACACCTTAAACAATATATATATATATATATATATATAAATTTAAAAAAAAAACATTTAGAAGACTGTTAGAAAGATACAACTGTGAAAGCCAACAACATGGAAATGAAGAGGTCTGTGTGTCATTTACAAGAGAGTTATCATACAATTTACATACCAGTCTGTTCGGATATCTCACACACACGGGTTGAACTGGGACTCCTGGGTAAAAGGCACCTGTAGCAATCACAGAGATGTGTAATATTAATTATTTTATAAGCTGAGAAACGGTTGTCTTTTGTTTTAGCATATTAAAAAAATAAGTGCAATTGTTCATAGGAAAGGAGGAGAGACAGCAAGATGGGTTATTATATGAGGGAGAGAGTGAAAAAGAAAGAAAAAGCATTTAGAAATAAAGTGGAAGGAAGAAATAAACAGGTGGAATGAGGTAGGTTGAAAGGAAGAAAAGGAGAGCAAAGTGGGAAGGAACAGAGGGACAGAAGTGAATAGACAGAGCAGAGGCAAGAGAGAAAGAGAAAAGAAGAAAGGAACTGAGAGGGGAAGAGACAGAGAGGAAGAATGTGAATGGGCAGAACAGTAGGAAGACAGAAAGAGAGAAAAGAAGAAAGGTGAATGTGGGAAGGAAGAGAGAAATATAAGTGCGAAGCAAGCAAAAGAAGAACAGAGACAGGAAGATGGAAAGAGAGGGAAAAGGGAAGGTGAGTGAAGTAGGAAAAACATAAGAGAAAGGACAGGGGACAAAGAAAAAGGAATGCAGAAAAGGAATGATATAGTAGAGAGAAACATAGATGGGAAGAACAGAGTACGAACGAACGAACAAACACACTTTATTTTGAAAGTGTCAAAAATTAGGCACGTAGGCCCATCTTACATTCAGCCTTTCCAAACATTCATCTTTCACACAGAAATTGTACTTTTTCAATAAATCATGTCATGTTCTTATAACAATATACTTACTTAGTTGCTCCTCTTCTACCTTGGAGTGTAGAGGTTTGCCAGAGAGATTGCCAGACGTCTCTATCAGCAGTTTTCTTTCTGGCTTTGTCAAATTCAGTCCTGTGTTCATCAGGGACTGTCAGACCCGTAGGTCAGAACTGGTACATAGGCAGAGTGGTAAACAGCCATTTTCATCCTATTGCTGATTTCTCTTTTGCTAAGCAACCCTCGGTTTATGGCCTGGAAGAATCTCCCAGTTGCTGCTTTTCAAGAAGCCAGCTCGGTCTTGAAGTCTCCATTTTGGTCTATTTAACCTCCATAATAAATATATATATTTATATATAAACAAATAGACGTGTACTGATCAGCAGATGCTGCTCCCAAAACACAGTCCCTATGGACTGATGGCTGCCTACAAAAGACTGACACCCATAGAAATGAAATGAGAAACAGCTTCACAGACAATACTTTACCTTGTTTAAATGAAATCAGACAGGATCTGTTGGTGCAAGTGCCCTCTGGGAAAATGATGATCTGGGGCCACTGGCCTTGGGCTTGACCTCTCCTCTGGATTTCTTTGATTGTGTTGATTCGAGAATTTGGGTCCTCACGTTTGACGAGCACCGGTTGTGAAAACTCAATAAGTGCTGAGGTTAAAAAAACAACACATAAGAATAAGTGAATGACTACATATAATTACCTTTAATAAAATAATGTGGGAATGCCCAATGTGCAGTGACATTGGCTGTGGAGTATCCTGGAGTGGCTGCTGCACTGGGGAACTGAGAACACATGGGAATGCCCAAGGTTCAGGATGTCAATTGTGAAGTACCCTGTGGTGGTTGCTGCGCTCGGAAACTGATAAGGCATCGGAACGCCCAATGTGCAGTGATGCAATTGTGATAACATAACATGACATGACATGACATAACAGAAGACAACATAAGATATATCAACTTAAGGAATAACAGTGGCACAGTGTCTAGATGACTGCCTTCTGTCTGAACTTGCATCAATGTGGAAATTTACAACTGATCTGTACTTGCAAGCGGAGCTAGCCTACAACAGGTACCAGGAAATGTCCCAGTAAGTGCATACAGCCAGCACAATCTTGACCACATCACACAGTCAGTGCTTATTAGTCTATCAAAACAGTGTAGCGATGTCAATTCTTGATTCATTCATTTATAGATCTACCACCATATGCCCTCAATGAGATAAACAGCGTACACCACTATATGTTTTTAACATACACCAACAGCCACACACAAAAATACACAGAGAAATTAGTTCAACAATTTATCAATAGGTGTGACACAATGTCTGTAATTTTCATTTGTTCTGGACCAGTGTATTTACTAATTTGGGTATATATTGATTGCAGGTCAACAAATAACGAACTCTGCCTACTCAATGTTTCAACGCTCAAAACACTGTTCTATTTTCCAGGTTGTTGTTTCTTTATCTGGATACATATGATGTTACTGTCGCCATTACTACCCTACATGTAACCATACTAAACAAATACCACTACTGGGTTGACACCTCCAAGAGTTAATTAGGTTTGTAGGAGCAGTTGATGTGCTTGGAAGGGCTCCGGCTTTTGCTTGTCAGTGATAAAGTGAACCAGTTCTGGTCTGTTCAAACGCTTGTTACACTGTCAGTATGAAGTATTTATATAGTGGTCTTCTACTTCTGTGTGTCCCATTACCAAGGTGATTGGCACATTTGTCATATACAGCTAGGCTGCAATATCATTTAAGAATTAAACAACGTAGCCCGACAGTGTCTGTGGCTTAGGTGATGCAAATGTATATGGTAGTTCTGAGATATACCTGGTTCGACATCAGCTGCAGGCGATTTGGCAGCAGACTGCCTTGCATTGATTTTGACAGTGGTACAAAGAGCTGACAGCTCAGGAGAAAAAAATGGCAGACTACTGGACATAAAATTGCCAAGTAAAATCACAACCAGCCAAAACATTTATGATGTTTGGTCTGCAATGTCCTGTAAAGCAGGAATGTCATGCCCAGGGACTGTGAGGATGTTATTATGGGTCATATTTGTGTTGTCATGAGGGTCACACATGACAGCCAACTGAAGTCACATAATACAAATTACTGCATGTAAAAGAAAGCTGTGAAGAATAAAAAAACATTAGTATTAATTAGGGCTGTACCGATTATTCGCTTCGTATTCGCTTTGGGGCAGAATAGTGGACACAATAACTATTCGGTATTTGGCCGAATAGTTGCGGTCAGGCTGAATACGAATAGTGGTTACCTATCAACCATTTCTGGACTGGTGGAAAAAAAAACATCAAGACTTCCCACCTTGGTTTATACTGTAAAGCGTTATCTTTGTGCACCACCTACGAGCGTACCAAGTGCCCCTTTATTTCCATCTTGCATGTGTTGCGAGTATAGTGTTTTTAGGTGTGTTGCTGTAGTAACCAACAAATGCAATACTTAAAATGTTAAGAGGGGCAGAAAAGCAAGTGTTCTAGTGTTGTCGGCTTTGATTTTCTTGGAGTGGAGTGTCCTCTTTGTTGATTCTTTGAAGTAACGGGAGTTCGAATCATTTATGGGTGTCGTATCTTGTTCTTGTCGTCGTCTCTTGGATTTACAGCAGCGGCTGAATGTTTTGATCGACTTTCGGTTTCTTGATTGTCTTTTGTTGTTTGATCTTCTGGCGTTGGCCGCCCGGCGTCTGGTTTCGTGAGCTCGCGGGGGGCTGGGCAGAGTTGTAAGGAAGCATTGTATATTGCAATTCTTGTTATTTTTGGTTTTTGACTGTTTCGCTGCAATGCGATTTTCATTTTGACTCTGTATTTGCATTGATTTTGACAGTGTTACAAAGAGTTGGAGAGCTCAGGAGAACAAAAATGGGGACTACTGACACATGGAAATTGCCAAGTAAAATCACAACCAGCCAAAACATTTATGAGGTTTGGTCTGCAATGTCCTGTAAAGCAGGAATGTCATGCCCAGGGACTCTGAGGATGTTATTATGGGTCATATTTGTGTTGTCATGAGGGTCACACATGACAACCAACTGAAATCACATAATTCAAACTACTGCATGTAAAAGAAAGCTGTGAAGAATAAAAAACTTTAGTACTAATTGACTTACTGCCAGCTAACTGTCTCATATTTCGAGGAATGGAAGGGAAGAAAGGGTTGGGGGGTTAGTGTGTGTTATTTTCCACACCAACAGGTGTAAGGCATATTGTGCTAGACCTATAGATTTAGATCACTCCTGTGGCCAGCATCATGCCAGCCACTTTACTTCCCATGACTTTACCTGCATCCAATTTAATGCTGGGTCCTAGGAGCCAAGGCCACGTTTGAAACAATCCGGCTTGTGAAGTGTCAGGCCCTGATATATTCGGCTGTCCACTCTGTTGTGAATAATGTAGTGGATCTCTAACACTTTCTGTCTCCTGCCTCTGGATCTTCATTTGTCACTTGATGTTACCTAATCATTTGTATCACTGTCTACCACCTGAATGAGAGCCTTTACTTGTTTACTCCAGCATGGATTTTATAGTGCCTTGTCATTTAATGAGGTCAAATATTTTATTTACATTCTCCACCACACTTTTAAAATGAACCATATTTAAGGATTCACTCCATTTGCTCATACGTTCAAGCCCCCCAACAAATACACACGATGCTGCATACACTGTCAACCTCTCTAGCTTTAACAAACACAGAACATGAGACAATTTTTTTAAATCTTTCTACAAAGCAGTTTTGCATTCAGCAGCTCTAGTCACAAGCAGAAACAGCAACAAACATGTTGAATTTCTGCACCGCTTAATGAATAATGCTGGAATAATATGTTTACTATATAATTATTTTCCCGCCATATAATCTTTCTAGGAATACTTGGCAAAATTAATGCAACACTCGCTAATGGATGAGATCTCATCCTCCCCCCCAATACCTTTTCCAATTCCCTGATCGCAATGAATCAAATGCCAGAGGGAAGAACACCTAATCACTTTACAGTACCCATATTATTTGCTCATTAACAAGTGCCCAAATGAAATTTGATATCATTTCTACATCAATTTATCATACCATTAAAAATGTTGATATTAATTAGAAAACAGCAGGGCATCAGCTAATGACCTACACACATGTCAATGTCCTGACCCTGATAGTTAGTTACTGCAGACACAAAACAAGCTGTGATAACATAGTGGCCAGACACTTGACTGGTGGCACAAAGGTCTCGAGTTCAAATCTGTATCCTGGCAGTCTTCAGTTTAAATGAGCCCTGTGCCACATTTCTTTGACAATTGACCTTGGGTTTCCAGGTTGGCCCAAACAAAAATGGGTACCACGTAACATCCTGGACAGTAAAGGTTGCCAGGGCCATGTTGAACACATCCCCTACCAAGTGCCGACTGACGTGTGAAAATAAGTCTAGCATCATATGCCTAATGTGCCCTGGTCATAAAAAGGACCCTTTTACTTTTTTTTTTGTAACTGTACATCTCTCCACCAAAAATTCAAGATCAGCTACTCGATTAACATGGTAATTTAAATTTTTGGGATTACACAACACATGAGAATAAAGTTTTTCTGACATAGCCTTGGGGAATTTGCAAAAATGTATTCAAACTGTAGTCAATAATCCTGCATTTGTTGCCTGGCACATTTCGTTGTTATCTCGTCTGGTGCTAACTTCACTACAGAGTTAAACCATCTTATGATGAAGCATGATAATGATTCATTTGAGCTGAAATGCATAAACCACATGGCTTACTGCATAAACTATTTAATTCTTTTTTTAACCTACAAAATACTTCTGGCTATACTCCATATTCATTTACTTCTTTATCTCAAAACACTGTCTTCCTCAGAGACTGGAAACGGGGGCAATCAATACTTTTCTTTTTTTATGATTTAGTTATCTGTATATCTGAATAGACTTCAGAATAGCATTGAAGGGTTTTGGATTTTTAGCAGCCTAGGACTTCATGGTAGTAGGTAGACAGAGTTTGGAGAGAGTAAATCAACAACAAACAAAATTCTGTTACAAATGGAAATGGTCAGCACTACAACACTACAAAAGTGACAGAATGAATGTTCAGTTAGAAAGCTTTCATCAGTGCAATAAAAGACACTGACACAGCTGCATTACACAATTGTTCTCGTTTTAAAGTCATTAGCAGTTAGGCTGGCAAGATGATCAGTTATATCTTCTTCTTCATCTTCTTTTTTTCTTCATCTTCTTCCTCCTCCTCCTTCTTCTTCCTACTACTCCTTCTTCTTCATTCTCTGGCTGCGCACTCCAGAGAAAAGTCCTAGTTGATCAACTTGTCTTTTCTTTGATGTTGTTCAAGCACCTGTGTGCACAACTATTTTCCAGATCCTCGCAAACTGTTGGATCCTGGTCTCTCAAGCAGAAAAGTGCCAGCTTTGAAGAAAATGTGAACAAAATATCAATCCTATAATTATCACTGGTGGCAGATCCCTGCTAGGGAACCCCTTTCTGGGATGACCACATACAAGTATTGATAAATCTTGACTAATATCAGTCCTGGTCTTGGTAGACAACTACAGATGGCGAGATAATCAGTTTGACTTGAAAAACAAAAACAGTCTTATTATTGCAACTGTATCAGTATCTTTTT